TATCTATGAATCACTTAGCTTTCGTTCAAACTCACTTTCTCTTTAAAACAATAATAATTTGATCCCCCACAAAGCCTGTTGTATATAGTGCACCGACAGTCATATACTAGTGTGAATCCTGGCGTATTTAAAAAAAAAATCCAAGGAGTCCAGAAGACTTGGCAAATTCTGAAATTGTTAAGCTTTGCTCTGGCAGTTTTCCCACCTTCCTTCTGGTGCTCCCACTCCTATCTCCTAGAGGTGCCTCATATCTTCCCAAAGTTTCTCACCTGAGACACCCACTCAAAATTCTTTCCCTTGATCTACCTGTCAGGTAACTGATTTCAGCCAACTAACAACCAACATTTGACTTAATCATTAACATGACTGAAAAGGCCCTTGACTTCTTTGTGTGTTAAGAACTTTTGAGAATCTCAAAAAAGTTATGGACCCTCTCCCCAGAAATATCACATAGGTGCACAAAATTTTTCAAACAATTTCAAGAGATCAGGATCACAAGGCCAAAATATATCCATGAATCCCAAAACTATATATAAAACACATATTAAAAACCCCTGTGCTTAACATGTAAATATTATGAAACCTCAAAATCTTTCAAGAGAATTCTGAATTTTAAGAGACTATATATTCAAATATAGTCTACTATATATACTCAGCTATATAAACTCCAATTGTTAGAATTTAAGTCCTCTCCAAGTGTTTTTATGCTGTAATTCCCGAGAGAAGGGGAGAAATAGGACCTATTTCTAAGCATGAATCCTCTATTAATTGGGTTTACCGGCCCTACCCTTATATTCAATAATGCTCTAGAAATCTACTTTACCATAGAATTCCTGGCAAAACAATACATACATACACACACACATTCAGAAAATTTCTTTTAAGTCTCAATTTCCAAATCCAGTTTTCATCTCAGTGAGCTCTCTGTAGTGTTTCACATTGCTAAGTTCCCTATTAAAATTCCCTTAACCCCTATCCTCAGTTTCTTTAACCCACACCATTGATCTTACCTTTACCCATTCTTTTTCAACTTCCCTCAAAAGGCCCCTCTTCATCCACTTGACACTCAGATATAGAGAGATGTTCCACAAGGTTGACCTCAGTCTTTTACCTGCTCTTGACTTACACTCTTTCGCAGTTTCTATGACATTATGCTAATGAATACATCTCTTAATTGGTCCCCCTTCCTCCCAAATCTGTCAATAGGTAGCTATTCGACATCTCTTCATTCCCACATCTAGAATCATACTCTATTATGTTCCTCCTCAAGTTCTGTTCTTGTCTATCCAATCCCTACCTTAATTAAAGGCATCATCATCTATTCACCCACTACAATCTGTAACTCCCCCACGCTCTTCCCAATCAGGTCGAAACCTCATCAGCTTCCTTTTCCACTGCTCTCTAGGTACAGCAAAACCGACTGCTACTTCTCAGGCTATCAACGCCCTTCCTCCAGCCTCTTCTCCATCAGTAAAACTGCTACTCACCCTTCAAAGTCCTACCTCAAAATCCCCTCCATGAAGTCTTCCCTAACCTCACTTATTCTCCTTGCATCACCCATCCCTCTCCCCAGGAGTTCCTCCCTCCCTCTGTAATTCCACACCACTCTTTCTTTACTGTATTTTAAATAGTTCTCAACAAGTAGTATAGTTAGTTGAGCCCTTATCTTTCTCCCTTATTAGACAAGGCCCATGGTTTGTTACTCTAGCACCTAGCACATGCCTGAAATATAGTATGTCTTTAATCAATGTCTGGTGAACGAATGGCAAAACTCCAAAGGAAAGACACACTTAAGGTTATTTCTCAATGGAAGGTACGTCTGAAGATAAAACATGAATTGAGTCCCTTAGTCCCTACCTCCCCATTTCTAGTCCACTGCTTAGTTTTAAGCAATGTTTCATGAGGACATTTCCTCACTTCCTCTTGTTCTTTGTAGGTTGAGCTGCCAGCCTAACCACATTAGCATTCAGCAGCAGCAATAAAACAGACTCTCCAAGTTCTAAAAAGCAAAGACTTTACCAACAGTAAAATACAAGCTCTTTTTTGAAAATGGTCTTAACGCTTATGCATATAAAGCTCATTCTTCATGACTCTGAAAAAGGCTTGGCATAGTTTATCCAACAGGCACCATTTAAGAGTTAAGAAAATGTCCACTTAAACAGTCAGCCAAAATTTTCACATTTGTAACCACAGAAATCAGCATCCATGAATTAATCTAAATACTACAGCTCTATACTAAATACACTATAAACAGTAGTCTAAATCACCTGATGACCCATGCAAAAGTAGCTTTTTTAGCTTGTTTTAAAAACTGTTACCTCCAAAATTCCAGATCATCCTAATCTATAAAACTAGATTCTTTTGCCAGTATCCTTCACACCACCACCCTCCCAACCCACCCCACCATGGCTTCTCCCAACACACTCTTCCCCAACTCTCTCTCCTCCCTCACTAGACATGGCCCAATGGTAGTTTGATAAGGCAGGTTATGACATCTGGGACTCTGGAGACAATTCCTCATGTTCAGCTTATCTTTTAAGTGACTGCTATTGATGACTCAATACAGATTTGCCTCAAGAGATCACAAATGTGGTAGCTCTGCCTTAATTACCCCCTAGGGTTTTGTTTTCTTTCTTTTTTAAAATACACTACAGTAGTTCTATAAAGTTGTATTTCTGATTTTTTTTCAGTTCATTTAATGTTCACATTTTAGGACATTGTAGGTATACAGACAACATGATGAAAAGGAAAACAATAAAGCTTTTTTGAAGCTTTGATAACTAAACTGTGTTGAGTGGGGTTAAAACCAAATTAGCCTAATTCTAAACTGCACTTCAGAAAAATATATATCCCAAGGTATATATAATCCATTTATTTTCCTTCAGCAAATATTCATTTTCCCATAAATTCTGTTACATCAAAATAAGTTCAGACAAAGCATTCTTGCTGATCCAGGATTAAAAGTTTCCAATAGTCCAATGTGGTTGTAATCTTCTGGAAACACCTGAAATTCATTTGTTTCCCCTCCTTTTATTATTTCTCTTCCAGCCTGTTCACCTTAGTAGAATAAAAACACTAACTGAAAAACCAAGAAAGTGGGTAACACCCTCTAGCTAATAAGGAAGAAACTGAATGATTGATACATAGTCCACAAAAATTAACATGTATTATTCAGCCTCAAAAAACACTGATTGGACTTGGTCTAAATAAAATTTTTCTAAAATAAACTTAACAAGTGGGTTTCTATTTCATTGCTGTTTTACTAAGCATTCGTGGAAAATTATATTTGACTAAGCTCAGGCTGAAAACACAAGCTTTAGCTCTCAAGGAAAACATAAGAGAAAGAAAATGTCCTTTAGTATAGAACATTTTCTGAAATGTTTTTTACAAAACCAAAGATTGGTATTTATTCGTAAGGCTGATTTTCCAAATACTACTTATATATGTATTAACAAGCATCACACACAAACATCAAATTCAAATATCACATTTCCTGGGCTAATTACAGCCCCAGACAGAGTACATGGAAATGCTTAAGGTTAGAGTAGGCACTTCTGAGACTCAATAATCCACAGGGTTCCCCCTTTACCCTCCAACTTTTCACAGTAGCATTGAGTGGATGAACAAGCCCGATACAGCATGAAGCCCTGGGCTTGCAAAGATATGACAGGAGCTGAAGGTATGAAATAACTTCCTATTCTCCAGAGGACTAGAAGCTGTGCTTCTAAAGGCTAACAGTTCATAGCCCTTCTAGAAACTAAAATATCAGGATACCTTTTCAAATACTTGTGAAAACAATTTTTAATAATTTTAAATTTAATTTAAAAATTTAAATAATTTCAATAATTACTATTCAGCATTATTATTCCCCAACAAACATTTACTGAATATCTTATTACACATAAGAAAAGAGGTATAAAAAATGTAATCCCAGACCCCACAGAGCTTGTATTTCCATTAAAACAGTTACCCATTTGTCATTATTTCACATAAAATACTTCTTGAAGACAACCCAGGGATCTGGTTGAACCTGCAGGCAATGCAAATTCAGGTATTTAAACTATGGGAAGTTGGTCTTCAGCTCCACAGCAAAATTAGAGATGGATGCATAATTGTGAGTCAATAAATCAAAAACCTACAATTTTGGGTTCCATTGGAATGTACATGAATTGGGAGGGAAACCTGAAATCCCTACTTTTAATCCCTTCTATGTCTGAACGAGGGCCCTCATATCCCTCCTCCTACAGTTACATCCCTTAGTCCACAAGCTAAATTTCCTTAAAACCTGGTAAGAAAACTATTTCCATAAAACTCCTGGCTTGGGGGTTAAGAAACTTTTTTCTAAATGAGAATACGACCACTGACTACTATGTAGAAAGTTACTTTCCCTCATATAAACTGAGTTTGAGATGGGGGTAGAAGGCAGGCAGGTGAGATGAAATCAAAGGACTTCAAATAAGGATGCTGTCAGAAGAAAAAAAAATAGTCCCTTGACACAAAAAATTCTGTACACGATTTAAGTATACTACATTACATGCGATAATTGTATGTTTGCTTTTGTGCTCAATAAAATAAGGAAATTACACTCAGATGCGCAGACAGGACTAATCATATTTCCACTACCTTATGGGGATAACACATCATGAACGTCCAAACATAATTCTAGGGAGTCAGGTTACCTGAATAACACATACAAAACCAGCATCTCCAAGGTCCCACCCCCCCCCCTTTTCCTTGAGTGAGGAACCACCCAATAACTTACTGTTCAAAGCCAAAGGAAAAGAAATATTTTAAAGGCTGGGCAGAGATGAAATGGGGAAAGGGTCACTGTTAACGCAGATGATACCCTGGGAAAGCTGACAGGTTCACTGACACTACCTTTCACCCTGAGAGTTTCCCAATACACTGTCTCTGCACACTTAAGAAAATGTGCATTTTGCTCTGACCACAGAAAGCACAACTGACACCAGCTCTAAAGTAAGCAATTAATATAGTCTAACCTAATGCTTGAAAAGAAGGGACGGAGACCAGGCTATAGCTCCTCCAACTGGTTGAAGCAGATACCACTGGAAGCCCTAAAAATATTAAGATTTTTAAACAACTTCAAGTTCTGATGGGCACAGCGAGATGCACTGTAGAAAACTTTGGGACCAGCCACGATACAACAGGTGAGAAAGGCGGTGGACATCGATGCACCCTGAAGTGGATAACATGCGGGGGCAAACCCTTGAGTCCCCGAAAAGCTGGGAATATGGTATAATACCCATGCACAAGGCCACCTAGAGCTCCTGTCTTCCAGCAGCAAAGGTTCTGTTCCTTCCAAGGGTCGCGCCACTCCCCCGCTCGCTCACCCAGGGGACCACCACCCCACGCACAGGAAGAACCGCGGCCCCTGCACGGGCAGCATCTCAGACCGGGAAGAAAACACAATGTCGCTCCTTATTTCTGCGTACAAAAGGACTTTGCGCCCTCCTCCTCGAACTGCCGTCGCTGCCGCCCGGGCCGCCTCCTAACTTGCAAGAAGGTGGGCAACGCGCCATATTCCAGCGTCCCCCAGTCTACCTGGGTAACAAGCCCACGCCGTCCCGGCGGGAGGGAAGCTTCGGTCGCCCCAAGAGCCAGCCTCCTCTCCCGCAGAAGACAGCGACTCCCGCGCCCCGGCCCAGCCCGCCGCGCCGCCCGCGGACCAGACCCAGGAAGGGCCGAGGGGGCGAGAGGGGAGCCGCGGCTCCGGTCCCGCGCAGCCCGCCCACCTCCCGCTCCCGGGCCCGGCGCGCTCTCCCTGGCTTCCCGCTCCCGAGCCCTCAGGATGGCCGGGCCCGGGCCCCGGGTTGAACGGTGGAGAGGAGGCCGCAGTCCCGAGAGCTTCAGGCGGCAAGGGAGGCCGGAACCCTGGGGCTCTCGGGAGGGCAGCGTTTCCCTCCCGAGCCCGCCAGGACGCCTGGGGCCTAGTGCGGCCTGCGCATCCTCGGGGTGGCGGTTTGACGGGCCCGGGCCGGGGCCCCCGCCCGAGGCCGGCCGAATCCGGCGGGGGCCCAGGCCCGGAGCCGGGGGCGGCAGGGTGCCGGCTGCGGGGCGGGCCGGCGGGCGGGCGCCGTGTTGCGGCTGCGCCGGGGCTGAAATAGCTGGAGATTGCGCGGTAGGGCACTCACCTCAGAGCGGCTGCGCTACCGTGGGCCTGCGCCGTGGAGACTGCGACCGCGCCGGCTCCTCGCAGCCTCCTGCCACCAGCGGCAATGGCGAGCGCTGCCGCCTCTGCCGCCGCCGAGGGGGAGGGGAGAGAGGGGAGGCACGCACGCGACGCACGGGCTCGGCTTCCCCTCCCGGCGGCCGCCATGATGGGGAGGTCGGCAGTGCCTCGCCTGGGCGACCCGGAGGGCATTGGGGCGGAGGTCCCCTGTCGCCCCCCGCGGCCTCCTCGCGGTCACATTTCGCTGCAAAGGTTTGGATGGGGCCGAAGCCACTAAAGCAACTGGATTAGTCAAATGTGGACGCCCCGGAGAAGTGGTGCAGGCAGCCCAAGATGGTTGCTAATGTGGAAATAGTAACATTTCTCGACCCCTAGCCCCGGGAATTAGGACCTCCTGAATGTGCCAAGACAATCGATAAGGGGCTTTCCCGCATTTTCCTAAGCGCTGCCTTGCCATTCACCTCCTCACCCTCTCTTTGGAATGACCTTTGCTTTCCTATTTCAAACCCTGCCCGGGTTATTTAAAAGCGAAAGTTTTTGTACAGAGCAATATATGAATGTATTCTAGCATTCATTCGTTCGGCGAACATTTCTAGGGGACACCGTGTGTACCAGATATTTTTATGGGCGTGCTGGAGATGCACCTGTTAGGAAGACGCAGTCCTCTCAAGCTTATACAAAAAATCCGGAAGCAATAGGGACCCCCCCCCCCCAAGCAGGTGACCGAGAAGTAAAGAGGGGTGGATGGTAGAAAAGCAACCTAATTTTAGGGACACTTGAGAGGTAGTTTTTGTTCTTTGTTTTTTAAAGTGTGCTCAGGAGACTACCTGAGTCGAAATCACTCAGGCTGATGATTTAAATTCTGGGCCCCAACCTTGGCTTCCTAGCCCAGGACGCTTCATTATGATCACTCCCCTCCACCCCATCCCCCCCACTCACACACATTCTCCTGGTGATTCTCATGCACACCATAGTTCAAGAACCATTGCGTAGGGAATTGCTAAATATCTCAAAGGGTGTCAGAAAACAACGCAACAAAATCAGGAAACTTTAATTTTCAACAAAATTCCATTGACCTCAAAATTCAACATCTCCAAAAATGGAAACGTTTTTATCCAACGTTTTCTAAGAAAGTGAGTGAGTGGCACCACCCACCAACCAGGTGCTCAAGTCAGAAACCTAGGAATGATCCATTGCTCCTTCCTCGCTCCCTCAAGTTCCCATATCCAATTAGATCTTTAAAACTGTCATTGCCTGTCATTTCTTAACTTGGTTCAGCCTACTATCATCTCTCATCAAGATACCGAAAAAACCTCCCCATGATCTCCCTGCCACAGGAATTGCCTTCTCGAATCCATTCTCCACCCTACAGCTTGATTGGCTCTTTAAAAAAGTAAATCATGTCATTTCCCTGCTTAACAGGCTTAATAAGATCCCATTATACATTAAGCTAAAGTCTAAAATTCTTTGAGGTGACTTGAGGGACCTTTGTGACCTCACCCTCTGCTGCCATCTCTGACCTCATCTGTCACAGACTTCTGCCACTGGCTACAGCCAAACTGGGAAGTTCTCAGGTCATACAAGATAAGAAGTTCTCCCACCTCACAACTTGCACAAAGGCTGCTCTCTCTGCACGGAACTTTTTTCTACTCTCTCTATTTCTATTCACCTGCTTAAACCTTCACCTGAATAATTTCACCTACTCCTTAAAATCTCAACATTAATAGCATTTCCTCCAGGAAAGCATTCCCTCATCCCCCTGCAGATTGAGTGCTTAGGCCCTTCCATCATCACATCCAGTACTTAGCCATTTATGTTTATTCAGCCCTCGCAATGTGTCATGCCCTGTTTTAAGTCCTTTGCACACACATTATTTCCTTTCTCATTTAATTCTCAAATGAAGCCCACGAGATAGGTGTTACTATTATTATTATCTCATTTTGTAGATGGAGAAACAAGGTCACGTAGAGGTTACTAGCCCAAACCCAGACAGTGAGACCTGGAGACAGGCTTGAAAGCCATCAGCCTAAACTCAGAGTTGTATCCTTAACCATTCTCAGGAGTATTCAGATTACAGGTCGATACCTACTTATGAAGCACAAAATTAACTTAGTCCTGACCAGCATTTCATAAAAGAAACAGAAAACATCAGAGGATATCAAACTTTGTAAGGCTTTTGTTTTGTGAGACATTTATTTCAGATATATAAATGTATGTACATAAATGTGTGTATACTGTATCATGATCTAAAATGCATTTCTATTGGCTTATAGTTGCAAAAAGTTTGAAAGCACTGCATTAGTCTTTCTGCACAGCACCTCTCAGCCCACACATCCTGCTGCAGGAGGGCAGGGACTGTGTCTTGTTCGGGACTCTATACCAGAGTCTCATGCAATGCCTGACTCACAGAAGACCTTCAATAAACATAGCAGAAAAGACCTCTGTGTCTATCCTCTTCAGAAATGCAAATTACTTTCTTAAGACAAATGAGCCTAGGAACCCCAGTCTGGATGACCTCAGATTCTAGAATCAGTCTCAGAAAAAAAAAAAAAAGGGCAGAAAAATCTACCCTAAGAGATTAAAAAACTGGATTCCAACAAATTCATCTTCAGCACAAGGACGTCAGAAACTGTAAACAGTATAATGTAGGAAGAAAACTCCATAAGGTTAGAGGTAGGCAGTAATTGAATTAAGACAGAAGGGATGACTCAAGATGGCTTAACCTTGAGGCCCAGAGCAAGGGGAAAAGGAAGCCTAGACGCTTTGAGAAATGGCTGGGAGCTGAGCAGCCTGGGGGATACAGGAGATTCTCAACTTGGCTTTGCTCTCAGTAAGCTGATGGTCATTCGATTGACTACCTGTAAAAAAAGTACTGTGTGTGCTAAGAATCAAAAGAGTGGTGATACAGATAGTATTTTCAACAGGTAATCAGAGATAAAGTTATGTGGGAAATTTCACAAAGCAACGGACCTTGATTTGGCCTCGAAGGGTGGGTAAGATTCTTAAGGGCATAGAGCAGAAAGGTGAAGACACTATAACTGGGTGGAGTGTTGGAGGTTGACTGAGCATCAAGCCTAGAAGGGAGGCCCCCAGGTGTGTTTAGTAAGTAAAGCAATGCAGCGGGTCTCAGTTGGAGCAGCCAGCATTCAGGCCTGTCTGAGGTGGTTTGCTCACGAGGAGGACAGACCCTCAAAGCAGCAATTGACAGGAGCTGACTTGCAGGAGGCTTTTAGCTGTAGAAGGTAATCACTGTTCCCTTCCAGCGTTGCCTGTGTGAGTAGGGGGAGATGAAGATGAAGAGACGGGCTGAGGGAGCTTTTCACAAGGGACTCTCGAGGGCCCACTAATAAACTGTGTGGAATCCAGAGAGCAGCAGCTTCCCCGTCTCAACTTTGAAATGCGTGCTGCCCCAGCCCCACAAGCATTATCAGGAACCTGGCACTAGGTGAGCAGTTCAAGGGCTGGCCCAGGAAGGGCCTGCGTTTCCGGAGGGTGTTGGCCCCAGCTGCTGCATCCCCATGTTTTCAGAGGCCACTGTGGAGACCTGGTCCATCAAAACACTTCCTACCTGTGAGACCTTGGCAAGTCCCTCACCCTTTTAAGGTTCTGTTTCTTCACTCGTGATATGGAAGTTAAAAGAGATAATGCTCGTAAAGGGCTCACACAGTGCCTGGCACCCAGGCAGCACATAGTAAGTGCTCAGTCTTACTAGCTTTTTCCCCAGTGACCATTAATCATGTAAATTGCTTGGTACAAAATACAGGTATGATGATAGATGGTGGCTGCTGTGATCATGATGATGATGATGATGATGATGATGAATAACTGTTCCTGAGCACATGTAAATATCCTCGGGGACTCCCTCCCAAAGTTGGGGAGACCATTCAGGTGATGCCAAGACAAGGGATTTGGGTAAGCAAGCAGTGTGTAACAAGGTTGGAAATGTCAAGATGAGGGGTTTTTTTTTAATGCCTGAGGGTGATTTGGGGGGAAAGGGTTGGAAAAGACTATTTATTATTGCTTTTCTAAATTAGTATTTGATTTATTAAGGTAACAACTTTTAAAACCCAT